TGCACCTTTAATATCCAGTGATAAAGTGTTATTGAAAATAGCTCTTCTAGCCAAATAAAAATCCTATGTTTGGTTTAATCAGGCCAAACTCATTGACTGGCATTAATGTAATTATGTTACTGAGGCAGCTACCTGCCAGTGCCTCTCCCTTCCTTTCAGTTCAGGACTACCCTCCCACCCCCACTTGCTGCTATATTTATCTATCTTCTTGGCCATAAAAGGCTGGCTGTGTGGTTCTGACATTCTACTGCCTGACCACATGCATTATTTTTGAACCGGCCCCCAGGGTCCTGTCTTTAGCCCTGCCCCTTAACTTTTTCTTGGATTCAGCTTACGTGAGTTTTTCATTTTCTCATCCAGCTCCACGGCTGTGTCGGAACATTTCCACCATCATCACTCTTTTGGAAACTGGTAAGTGTGACATTGATGCAGAAGAATGAACTTGATATTTTATGTGCTTAACAAGCACTATGCTTTCTGTGGTTTCTTTCTGTCTTCGAGTTCAGCAGTTCTCTCAAAGAGATGTCAAAATAGCAGAGAAATAAGAAAGTGGAGCCCCTGGGAAGGAACACAGTGCCAGTTTTTGATGGCACAGCTATCCTCTCAGCTCACTCTATTCTTTTAAAATTAAGCTATCATTCCTTGAACTATAAGGAGATTATAGCTGTCTCAAATGGAACTGTGAGTGTGAGTTAAGTACTCTTTCTAAGTTATAGTTCAGTGGTTTGGTTGAAATCTAGAGCAGATGACATGACAAGAAATCATGTGTTTTCTATTCTCTGTATGCCTACAATACTCCCTGATTACAAATTAGACCAAAAGGAGGTAAATTAACTCGGAAGTCACTAGTTTTTAATTCAGTGATTTTGCTCTGACAATGCCGTGTGGAAAAATGTAAGAGTGCATTGTGATATTCCTAACCCCAAAATGGTTAGGCAATATTTCAGAGGCACATAGATCCCCACATAGTGAACCTAAAGTTAATACTTTCTGTGAATAATTTTTATCATCTTTTTTTGTCTCTAATACCAGTACTAAAGTATCATGTCAGAATTACAACTATGGAGTAAGTATTTCTTCCTAAATTCTCATTATTTTCCAGAAGAAAATGCAGGTATTAGAGGGACAGAAGACAACCAAACCATCTTTCCACCCAACATACCCTAGCTGTCATGTGTTGCGAATAATCCTCGCTTACTTGCTGAAGAGAGAGTAGTCGTACCTTCATTACAGAGGTCAAACAGAGCTGTGACAACCAGCTCTGTTGACTTAAAGCCAAACCCTGTTTACTTGTAATACATTATCTATGTGCTTGGAATATTGAGTGTTATTAAAAATAAATACCCTGGAGGGAAATAGCAACAGAGTAGAAAATAGAATTGGGGCAAGATATTTTAAGATTTTATTTTGTGAAAATAATAGCATTTCAAGTCATTGAAGTTGTAAATTTAGCTTATAACATAATACATAGGAAGGTCATTGGTATTTATTTGAATATCATTCAAATAACATCTGTCATGTTGCAATGTAGTGTGTATCATTACAGAAATGTATCTAATATCTTTATAACTGCCAAACATAATATACTTCTATATTAATATATTCTAACCATTTTGTTTTATCAAAATTCATCTAATAATTATTCATTACACATGATGATTATTCTGTATATTTTAGAGCAGAAAATAGCAATCTATTTAAGGGTCGAAACAAAGTTGCTTGCTAGTAGCTATTTTTTTTTCTCTTGGGAAATGCCATGTAGACTGATATCTTCCATGAGTCCCAAGAGAAATACTTCTGGAGTGAAGTTTGCTGGATTTTCTTCTCTAGAGAATACACACTGACTTTTTAAATAGTTTAAATAAAAAATAGACTTAAACTTGACAAAAAATATGGCAAGTTTAGGATTCACTGCTTATTTAGAATTTAAAGAAAAAGATTTGGAAAAAACCCGATTACTTCACAATAATTTTACTTGTAAATTAAAAAAATAAGATTTCAGAACAGGCACAAAAGCATTAAAAATTGGAGTGGGGATGTTCCATAAAACTATTACTTCATTCAGAGTTGTTAATGTGGCTGATAGGCTTCTGTCAGTGGACAGATTAGTCAAGCAATCTAATGCAATGTGAAGTCTCCCTCCCTGTGCTAGGCAAACATATCTCTGACTTTCAGTAGAACTGTTAGCTCAAGTTCACAATACACACTGCTACACTGATGGTTGACTTTATTCATGTTAGAGGATTAAAAACCTTCATGTTCTTAATGGAACAAATAATTTTTCTGGTTTGACACTATGCCTTTTCAAAGTGTTTGTGAGATGTGAGAGAGCCTGTTAAACCTGATAATATAATCATATTCCAGGTTTCAATCCTAGGACTTTCTTTTCCACTTACAATCATTCTCATCTTTATTTATTTATTTTTTTGGCTTTAAATATTATCTATAAACTGGTGAGTCTCAAGTGTAGGTCTTCATCCTAGACCTTTACCTTGTACTCCAAAGTTACGTATCCAACTTCCCACTTAACATCTCCACTTAGATGCCTAGCAGATACCTCAAATGTAGAATGTGTTAAACCAATTTCCTGTTCTTCCATCCAAACTGCTGCTTTCTTACACTCCTGCCCATCTCAGTTAACAGCAACTTCTATCTTGCAATTACTCAGGCAAAAACCTTGGAGTCATTTCTCACTGCTCCTTCTTTTACACCCTAATCCAGAACTTTCAGCAAATGCTATTGGTTCTACCTTCAAAACATGTGCAGAGTCTTATCACTTCTCATACTTCCACTGCTATTGCTACCATCTGTAGCCTGGACTATTGTAATGGCCTTTATATTAATTTGCTAGGTCTCCCATAACAAAGCAACATAGATTGGGTGGTTTAAACCATGGAAAGTTATCTTCCCACAATTCTGGAGGCTAGAAATCTGAGATTAAGGTGTCGGCAGAGTTGTTTTTTTCTGAGGCCTCTCCTTGGCTTGGAGATGATTGTCTTCATACAGTCTTCCCTTTGTAGATGTACATATCTGTCTTTTAATTTCCTCTTCGTATAAGGACAATGGTTATATTGGTTTAGAACCCACCCTGATCACTTCATTTTAACCTCACTCCCTCTGTAAGACCCTATCTTCAATATAAGCACATTCTGAAGTACTGGTGGTTAGGATTTCAAACTATGAATTTTGGAGAATACAGCTTAGCTCATAACAGCCTTCTAATTGGTCTCCTAGCTTTTACTCTTGTCCCTCAACAGTCTGTTCTTCAGAATCAGCAAGAGTGATTCTTAGCTCAGAACCTTCCCATAGCTTCTCAGCCTTTTCAAAATGAGACAAAGTCCTTACAAAGTCTTTTTCAAAACAAGACAAAGGACCCTACACTGTCTGCTTTTTGCCTGGTCCCCGCCCCACACCTCTCTGACATCATCTCCTATACCTTTCCCTGCCCTTCTCTCATTCCATGCAGCGTCGCAGGGCTATGTGCTACTCCTGGAGTACAACAGGCATGCTCACACTCCAGTGCCTTTGCAATGGCCTTCCATCTAGTGCCTTTGCAACACTCTTCCCCCAGATTGTCTTGTGTTCAGATGTCACTTTCCAGTGAAGCCATCCTCACAAGGCTGTTTAAAATTTCATCCCATCCCCTTTACTGCTTTATTTTTCTCTGTAGCATTTAGCACATTCTAATATCCCTTATACTTTATTTGTTTTCGCTGTTGTCTATCTCCTACAATAAATAGAATAGAAGGTTCTACATAAGGTTATCAGAAAAAGATTTTGTTTTGTTTATCTCTGTATTTCTTGTGCTGGAACAGTACCAGGCTCATAGAAGTTCTCAGTAATCATTTGTTGAATGAAAACTACATTGGTTGTTGTACCTGTTCTTCCAGATGAAGCCTCCATCAGAATGAAATGCCAGAAAATTAGAAATATGAATTATGAAAGATCTGAGGAAAAGCATAATAGACAGAGTAGAGCAACTTTGTAAAGACCTCCTAGATATATTTTTAAAAAAAGAAAGAAAAAGAAAGAGAGAGACAGAGACAGAGACAGAGAGAGAGAGACAGAGGAGAGAGAG